TAAAACTGCACACAGCATTCAAAACACAGGCTTGCTTTATATACCTGAATCATAACCTTCACTTTACAATTTCCATTTATATAATCTAAGTAAGTTCTCTTTCACTCTGGCTACCAAAAATAGTTTCCACTCTTTCAGATGACTATGGCTCCTATATCATTTTCTTCATTAGATCTTTAAAGCTCTAAACCATTCAATGTAACTTATTCTCAGATATTTTCATTCCAAATATACAATACATCATTTTGAAGTCTGGGACACTAAACTAAGCTTGCAACAAGCTATATATTATCCCTTTTCCCAAATGTGTGTGTTTTCTTTCAGGTCTATGTTTGCCTCCATTTTATCTACTGTTTTTTCTATTTTGTTACCAATGTTTTGTTAGGATTTCTATTTTGGTGTTGGAGTGATGGTATTGAGTCATTGCTGATCCAGTTCTTGATGCAGCTTCTTTTTGTATGTTTGTGCTGGTGTAGATAACATCAGGAAGCTTTATGGGGAAGGTGAAGCACGAAAACAATAGTTCACATCACTGCTATCCATGTCCAAATGTATTTCAGGCTGGGCATGTGAGTCACTGCATCCTACTTACAACCCTACTCTTCATTTCTAAAATAAAATGCCTGCTGAAGGCTGGATTTGAACTTTCACACTCATAAGGGAATGCTGCATTCTTTATTTATGAACTGCTTAAACAAACACATCAGTGTGACTCAGCTGCAGAAATCAGTGTGAATAATTAGAGGGGGAGGTTTTCTACATGATTTCCTGACTTGTTTGTCTTTTTCATATGTGTTGAACACATACATTAGGGAATAATCAATTAATAGGAATCTCTGATTTGGGTTTAAAAAACCTTAAATTGAAAGCACTGCCTTGCAACTTCAGAAATGATCACTAGAATTACAGTTATTTTTTTCAAAAGATTTAAATCCAGAGGAGAGAATATGAAATGGACTTTCTGCTTGTAGATATGGGTTAAGAAAGTGAATTTGCTGCAGGCAAAGTGATGCAGTGGGTTGTAACTGGGTGTGGCAGGCAGGAGCCCTGGGTTCTAGTTTTAGCTCTGCCACAAGCTTGCCGTCTGGTTCTGGGCAAGTTACTTCATTGCTCTATGTGTTGTTTTCCTTATCTGTAAAATGAGGCTAATGGTACTTAACTGTCTTCTAAAATGCTTTGAAGCTGAAAAGTGCTCTGTGCTATCATTATTCACTTTTGATTAAAAATAAAATTTTTGGCAGGAGAAATGACTAATTCTTCCTGAGAATATAAGAAGTAGAATACAAGAAAAAAGATTGCAGAAATAAAAACATGGTCTCAAAATACTTTACATTTATCATCATGCACAAACGTGCTTTTGTTGACAAAGACAAAAGTGCTCCAAGGCCTGTTGTGTTACAAATGCAGTTAAAGAATAGCTGGAAGAAAAGTGCCATTCAGGATTTGAAACTGCAATGATGCAATAAATTAGTGGCATACTGAAATTCAGTGCACTAGAAATCATCTAACTTTAACTCTGCATCCTGATTAATATTCTTCCTTGGTCTCATTACTTTCCTAATCCCTACAGATGCTCATCATAGCATCTCATTGCTCCATTCCTATAAAATGAGCTTCTCTCAAAATATAGTGGCATCTGAAGAGATTGCTACCTGCTCATGTTGCAGTTCTTGGCTTGTGCAGTTATGGCAGTTTGGAGTTTGGTTTCGCAAGTAACATCAACCTAACAGAAGGTTTTTTGGATTGTACAAAATTTCAGAGTTCTGTTGATTGAACAGAGATTCTAGATGTTAAAAAAAATGAGGTCTTGCAGTTGTTCTGTTGTCTTGTTTCCCTTTCCTTTTGTCTGCAGGAGTATCTCCAGCCAATAAATAACATTATGTTCTGTTAAATCCTCTGTCTTGTGCAAAAAAGGGGGTTTGGAAAGCACTGCCAGTACCTCTGGCTCTGAGCGACAGCTTAGTGTAGAATCAACTTCCTCCATGCAGCACACTGAATCTACAGGTTGGGAAGGCAAGAAGAGCAATAGCCATTTACAAAGGAAAGCGACAATCAGGAAATGCAGTATGAAGAAAGCAACCCGATGCAGTTATCAACCTTAGTGTAGCTGAGGTCTTTCCCATATCTCTCTGTATAGAGAGTATGCTCAAAAAGGAAATGGAGATAAACTGCAATAGTTTGAGGCCTTTTTTGCTAAACTTTACATACAGAATTAGGACAGAAGTAGGAGCATTTCATAATTCATGTTGGGGTGTGCGGGGAAGGGAGGTGGGGGACTCCATACCTCCTCAGCACAGTAACACAAGGACCTAGAGAGAGATCTTTAAAGCAAATGCGAGTCAAGATAAGAAACTTGGATCACGTGGAGTTATTTTCTCTAGCAGCATGTTTTTATAATGTCATGCTTCAGCAAGTATGCATGACACAGAAGCAAACTGTGGTAGGTAAGAGTTGGAATAGCCTGAGTCTCATCAGACTTAATGGAAAAACAATGGGTTCTCTGGAGTTGTAGCACTGCCAACTTTTCAGCTGCATTGCCTTTTATGGCTGAGCTGCTTCACATTGAAGTATTCTCTATAGGTAGGACGATAGCAGCCTGACTCGGACGCTGCACGTTCCTATAATTAAAAGTGTTACTGAAGTTATGGCACTCTCCTCTGCTCTGGGGATTCTAGCTTGGAGATGAACTCTGCCAGAATGCTAAAATTGTACAGTGCTGCTATGATTCGCTTCAGAGGAGCACCCCGGTACCTCAGAACAGTGCATGTTCATCCCTCTACCTGAAGGCCACCATAAATTTAGTTTTATTGGTTTATTTTTGCATCCCTTGTATGATGCAGCCAGCTGGTTTGATGGTATCAGAGAAACAGCTAGGAAGTGTTAGTGATGTGTTTAGTCTAGTATCCTGTTTCTCAAGACTCCGGCAAGTGTCAGTTGCTTCAGAGGAAGGGGCAGGAAACTGGAATCATGTGCCCTTGGGGAAATGTCTTTTGAACCTGGTCCCTTGGTTTATATGCAACAGCACATGTTAGTGTTATGCGTATCATTTTGCTTGGTCTTAGTCACTGACAATATATACCAAAGTCCCTGTAGGGAAGTGCAGTGCACCTGCCAGGATCAAACACCTTGCCTCCGAGTTTGCCACGTGGCTGCATTGAAATGAATGTACCATCCCTATTCCCCATTCTCAACTGGAAATAAAATAGTACTGTTTGCAGGCATCTCTCTGCCTGTCAGCAGATTGCACTTGGAAGTTTGTTTTGGCAAGGAGTTAGGAAATGCGTAAGCGGGGTCCAGCTTCTAAAAAGGGTGTTGCAAAGACAATGCATGGGTTCTGTTTGTAGTTTTGCCACTGACTCACTAGGTGACCACAGCCTTCTGCTGTGCCTCACCTACCCCACCCACAAATAGACAATAAGAATAGCCGTCTTTATGAAACATGTTAGATAACCAAAGGAAGGGCAGTCTGTAAGTGCTAAGAGGTATAATTTAAAGCTAACTATGATGAAGAAAGGTGTATTCAAGAAGACATATTTTCACTCAACACAACTCAGATGTTCTTAAAGCATTTTTACTGGACATGTCGCTTAGTAGACAGCTGCTTCATGCTTCAAAATTTCTATGATAGCCTAAGGTACATAATAACATTTTATATGAATTCAATTTTCCAGGGAGATTAATTTCAGAACAAAATAGAGGAAGACGGGTGGTGCCACAAACATAAGCCTGTAATGGGGAAAAAAGAAAAACACATGCTGATATTGTATCTGAAAATCAGAAGGAACTATCATTGCTAGCAATCCAAGAGAATGAGTCTTTTGCAATTCAAAAGCAGTATTCAGTCAGTAGCCAGAAAGACCCTGTTCAGGTAGAAGTACTGTGTGGGGATGGTAGCTTGGGAAACCAATAATTAAGAGCTAGCCTAACGATACAAAATAGAATTGCTAACAGGATTAATTAGACTTTGTCTAGGAAACCTCTGTAATTGATGCATATCCACATCTGTGGCCTGCTGAGACATTAGGTAGCTATTCTACACCTGAGCAGTTTGGTAGATCTAGAGAACCCAGCTGCCAGAATAATTTTGGTTTCTCTACAGCTCCTGTATTCAATTAAATGTTCAAAATGCTTTTTTTTTTTTTTTTTTTTGCAGCACTTCCATGAAGGCCGAAAGGCACAGCAGCATATTGAAACTTGCTGGAAACAACTTGAAGCAGTAAGTGGAAGCTTTCTTTCAAAGTCACGTTTAGAGCATTTTAATAATGTCTTGAGAAGTGTTTCTAAACATGGGGTTTAAAGAAAGATTAGGATTAGGAAAAGGTCTGAAAATCAAAGGAATGTAATTCAAAACTCTGCTTTTTGGGATATAAAGATAGGCATAAAACAGTCTGCTCCTCATGAGTAGTATTTCATTTGAAAATGGGCAAAAAGTGGGAGATGACCTTTTTGGCAGGCATGCCACAAATTAGCCTGGCCCTTCCTCCTTCTCCCCCCCCACCCCATGCCACTCTGATCTTCTTCTCTGCCTCTCTGCCTCCTTCCCTGTACTCCCTGCCCCATGTGCTGCTCTGCTTTCTGCTTCCTGCCTTCTCTGCTACTGTGCTGCTTGGTTCCTTCCCTGATCTGCTGCATGCTGTTAATGGAGGCGGCTGGTGCCACTTGAGGCGTACGTGCCGCAAGTTGGTCACCTCTGCTCAAAGTATGCTAGAAGCAACAGAAAATCCCTAGTAAGGCACAACCCCTCCTGCCAAGAGATTACAATCCAAAAGGGCTGTATTCTGATACAGTTATGGGTACCGAATAGCACTTTACTCCATGCATGACTTCAAGTGAGACCATCTGCTGAAAAGGTGCTATTCCACAGGTGTAAATGTATCGGAAACTGGCCCTCAATATTAAGTGTGACCTGGAGGGAGGAGGAGAAACCATATGAAGGGGAAGGGATGAGGACAGGGGAAGATAAACAATGGATGTGCTGTGCAGACCTTAGTCAATCAGCCACAAATGCACTTGTATAAAACAACAAAGGTAGCATGGGCTCACTGACTATAGCAGTGGTCTCCAAAGTGGCGTGCGCACAAGACAATCCATTGGGGTGCAGGAAGAAAATACTAGAACTTTATATGTATATTTATATAAATATACATATATTGGAGGTGCATGCTCAAATTTTTTACTGATAGGGTTGTGCAATCAAAAAAGTTTGGAAACCACTGGACTATAGGATGGCACAAGTGATGGATTTAAATGCAGAGAATAGCAGTTTGGCAGTTCAGAGCAAAAGGCACGTTTCATGTAGAGGGGGACTGTAGAAAGGCTGAGAGACTGATGGAGCGTCAATATTGCTGTTGCTAGAAGAACCCATCTATCTGAGGATGAGGGCAGAGATTTTATTTCTGATAACTTGGATGTATTTGTAGTTCTTTAGTATGGAAATTTATGCAGATGTAAACGAGCCAATCTCAAACGCTCTTGGCAGTGATTACAGCAAATTATGTTAGTAAGCAGTGCTTATTAGGTTGAATTTCAAATAGTGTCTCTCACCCATATCTGATGTGCCTGTTTTTCCCTTTCAGAGTAAAAGGCGGTTCGAACGAGACTGCAAGGAAGCCGATAGAGCGCAGCAATATTTTGAGAAGATGGATGCTGACATCAATGTTACGAAAGCAGATGTTGAAAAGGTGAGCTGGAAGAGGAGGCTTTCGCTTCTAAATACAAGTTAGTGTACTGGCTTTGACAACCTTGCCACAGCTCTTTCAGGACTGGATATCTTACCAGCATCCTCCATTGCTGAACCAGGACAGTGCTGCTCTGCAGTGCAACACCTCCAGTTACCTAGGAAAACTGAGGGACCCTTTCTGTTGTAAATGGTCTCAGCTTCACTGAAGTCAGTAGGGCTGCCTCAGTTTAAAGTAGCTGATCTAGTTACTGTGAATTGAGTTAATGAAAAACCAAGTCTTATTTGCTTAACGGCCCAGGTTCTGCCATACAAGTTGTAATTCAAGTCACTGCAGCAGCTTACCTAGTGTTTCATCACTGGGCTTTCCAGCTTTATTAATCAATCTTGGTATTAGGTTAGTGGAATCAAGACAGTTACTCCATTATAGTAGTAGTAGGTAGAGGCATAACTCGTATCCTGTAAATGAACATGGACTGCTGATGGGGAAGGTACTTTAAATGTATCATAGACCAAGAGAAAATACCTCCTGTGCTAAATGGAGCTGCCCTAGGGTGTCGGGTTTTCCCAACGGCAAGTGAAGATGAAAACTGCAGTTGTGCTTAGAACTGCGAACATTGGCAACAAAGGGGTAGAATCTAGAACTGATTTTCTGGTTACCTGATTGCTTTACACGGTATAACTATGGACTTCTTTTCCCATTTCTGGTAGAAATAATCAGCGGAGTAGCTGTAAAATTATAGTGTTAATTCAGAGCCTGATTCTGTACCTTATTTCACCTGTGGACCCTTTGAAACCCACAGCTGAAGGCACAATTCTGCTGTCCTTATTACCAAATATGAGTCAGGATGATGGAATGGGGCGGATGTGGCACATACTGGATTTAGGCACATGATGGTTTCTTAGGGTGCTGGCACCAGGCTAGTTTATATTGTTCTTTAGGGCTTTGTTGTCCAAATCCAGGCCAAGTCCTAGTCATGTGTCTACCGGAGCAGTCTGAAACTAACCCTAGGTTTATTGCAGGAAATATTTTCATCTTGGAAAGTACCGTGATGGGTCGTCTTGGCACAGACCGTGTAGAGATTTATTAGACTTGACATGCATCATGACAGAAGCTGCACAATTTGCATTATTTTGGAGGAGTTCTTGCTGGTTCATTAGTTCTATCAAGTGCAGGTAGAATTTGGTAGTGTCTTTCTTTTCCTTTCTTTTAATTTTTTTGTGTAAAAGTAGCAATAAAATTAACACGTTAAAACTACTCAATACCTGATGCATTGAGGTCATCAACATAAAATGTTGCTTTGTCAGTGTTAGCAGCATGTTGTTACCTTACTTCATCTGTAGGAAATGTTGTGACCATGAGGCACCTCAATAACCTGTTCTAAAGTAATGGTGTGTTATCTTTTTGTTTTAGTGGTTGCTGACCCGAGGTCTAATGTTTCAATCCTTGCTCCTAAGAGTTATCCCATTAGAGGCAATGGGGTATCTCCTGTGGGAAAGGGGTATAGGAGTGGGATCATATTCAGTGGTGATACTGGATGTAACAATTTATCATCTCTCAGAGTGCGCTTGTAACGCATTTAGTCAAAAGCCATCATTGTTTGGGAATGGTTTCAGTATGCCAGGGATTAGCACCCTGCTACTGGGTTGTAGAAGGTGGAGGGTTGCAACGTTACTTATGGGTTTTGTTCTTTAGCCCTGATTCAGCAAAGCAGTTAAGCAGATGCTTAACTGTTAAACTTGGGTTTAAGCACTTTTCTGGTGCAGGGCCCCTACTATTGAACCTTTTTCTTAGGCAGCTCCCGTATTGCTCATGCAGGAAGTGTAAACATTTAGCCCAGTGATAGTACTATAATTTAAGAAAGCAGCATGGAGGAGAAGGCTTGTCTACATTGCTTCTATTCTTGATGGAACTGTGCATCTGTTCAGAAGCTGCAGAAGTATGACATTCCTGATCTAGATAGCTAAAATTAGCTTGGACTTCCATGGCCACGGGTTCACCCACATAGGTCAAAAATAACATGACCACGCTGACCAATATGTAGTGGATTTGGATCAGATGGCCTCTTTGCTGAGGTGCATGGCATATTCAGCACCTCTGAAAAATCTGTCCAGAAACATGGTGTTGTTGCTGTGATTTAGCTGAGAAAAGGTTTTTGCCACCTCCTCTGTAAAGTCAAAACTAGAGTTACAAGCATTTTTGGCCCTCTAGTAAAGAAAGCTGTGTATTTATTGGGGATTTCTTAAAACCTTCAGGTCTGAATATACCAAACACCTGTTGTGAGAGAAGCCAGAATACAAGGAAATAGTGATTTATAACAAAATGCTTCTATGTAGAATGTAGTACTTACACATCTGGAAGTCTGGTTCATGCCACTTCATGCCATGTGGTTACAATGGAGGAACTTCTTACTAAAATCAGTAGGAAGCTAGAACTTCTCTGGTATGCTCAATAACATGCAATGTAGAAAGTAGACCAATAACACTAGGGCTGCATATATTAGTAACTGCACACGTAAGTGCAAAACAGACCCATAAAATTTCCCAAAAGCATTCTTGCATATCAAAGCAGAAAAGACACAGGTGGCTTTATCATTTACTTTGCTATTAATTGTAAACTCACCATGCAGATTTAATCCCTTATCACTTTCTCAATTTGCTAGAGTATTTTTACAGTTGAACACACATACAAGGATGTCAAAAACAGAATGCATCAGATACCAGAAAGGGGTCAGCTCTGCTTTATCTATAGATTTTTTTTTTATGCTGAAAAGTAGGACTTCTCTTAGATTTTATGCAAGGCAGAGGTTAAGCCAGAGAAGCACAGCTGTGACTTACTAGCCTAGGGAAATAAGAACTTGTGAGGTCCGAATCCAGAACTACTACTGGCTTTCTCTCTGTGCCACAGCCAAGTCATGTACCTGTGCCACAAGGGATAGCATGAAGTAAATTCTGGAAAGCAATCCCTGTCTTAATTTTCTTCCTCTGTGATTTGGACATGAAAATGAGGAGGGCCTTATGAGGAAATAGGGTTGACCTTAGTAGTTCCCCTATATATTATCACATACATTATAAATTGCAAAATGAGACAATGGCATCTGGAAGGCAAAAACCCCCCAACATTGAATAGGCAGGATCTGTTGCTAGGGTGGTTAGCTAATCCCTGGGGAAGGCATTAGTCAAGTCCCCAGTTATGCTGTCAGTCAGCAGGCTAGATGGAGAAGGACGAGGTTATCAAAACGAATGGAATGTGAAATAATATTACCGAACAGAGAGAACAGTGTTTTCTAAGTGCATGTGTTAAACCGGGTTCATCCATCTCAGCCTGTGAATAATGCCCTTTCTTTGCTTGGCCGTGCCCATGTGACTGGAGCTGCTGTTACATAACTATCCAGTGCAAAATAGGAGATTGTTTAACCAGGGACTGCAGTTGGGGGTAGCACTATCTGACTTCTTCCAGAGAGGCAGAAACTGTCCAGTCTCAAGTGAGGCCATACAATCATTTTCTCTCCTACTTTTATTACAGCGTCTCTGATTTCACTTGCCCCTTATAGCTTGGCTGCCGCAGTTTCACCTCCAAAAAAAAAAAAAACAACAGAAAACCAAAAAAACCCCCCAAAAAAACCTTCCTGGCCAGGAAAGCAGACGATTTGGCTTTGTGTGGAGCCAGTACTGTTCAGTCTGCTGGCTGGATGCGATGCCTCTCTGGGCAACATGATCAGTTGCCCTAATTTCTTGGGCTCAAGAGTGACACCTCTACAGCTTTAACTTGTGTTTGCTAACGTGGGGAGACATTGCAGCTGTATTTTGAATCACATATTAGAGAGAAATGGAATTAAAATCCTGCAGTGCGTCACAATTACATTTGCACTGTGCTAAAATAGCTGTGATTCACTGTTGTGCCCCATGATTTGCAAGACTAAAGGAGGCTATGCTAGGCCCCCAGTCTCTGATTAGTCCCCTACCTTTCAATCTTAGATAACAGCTGGCTTTGTCAAATGGAACAGGAAATACTGCAGACTGGTTCTTAGTATTCAGCACCTTAATATGACTTTGCAAGCTGCACTTGAGTCACCATTAAGCCTCAATCAGCCAGAAAGAGGGTGTGGAACTGGATTATGAATCACCTCCCTTCTTACTGGAATGGGGCAAGGGCTGTGTGTGACAGTGAGGGCCTTCTTTCTGCTTCAGTGCCGGGCAAGGGCTGGCCTGTGAATTGTAATGGAGCATAATCAAGTACAGCCCAGCCTAGATGGACGAGCGGAACATATACACAAGCAAGCAACAGGGGCCAGGGCAACGCTGCGATTAGGGGGCCAGGGCACACATCCACAGGAGGCCTCAAATGCCGCTACACAAATGCTCATAGTATGGGGAACAAGCAGGAGGAACTTCCCCTCCTGCTAGGTGACACCAACCCAGAGGTAGTGGGGCTCACTGAAATGTGGTGGGACCCAACACATG